ACTGCGACTTTTTAACTCGGTCAAGTCTACTTATAGTTGAATTTAGATAAATAGTTTAGTATGTTTTGAGGAAAATTGTAGCTTTAAGCACAAATTCATACCCGTAATAGTGTGTTATTAGTGATTCGATGGTATTATAATTATGTGTGCCACCAAATGATTGACAAATTGCCGCCTATTAGTCAGACAATTTAACTGAAATAATATAGTAAGTACTTTTTTAATACACACATAAACATGTATATAATTTATTTATGAAAATTACATAGATATACCATTTGATCAAATTTGAACCGGATTGTCATATATATTTATTATCGCTTTCCAAATAGGCTCTAAAGCCGATACAATCTTGCAAACGAATTTTACGTTCTTGCTTGTTTTAAACCTTCACTGAGATGAAGTTGAGTACAATCAGAGAATTTTTAGTTTTACGGTTTCAACTAAATTTTGGAGCGCCATTTGCTAGATTGTTGCATAGTTTTGTCACCAGTAGTGATACGTTCGATGAATGTAGGACCCTCAGCTCAGCTATAAATCAATTTGACCTACTAACAATAAAGATGAAATTGCATAAAAAAAGAAAGGTCTAGTATTACCTAGAAGATAGTAAATGTCCCGCAATTAAGTTAGCTGCTAATCGAACAGCTAAAGTTCCAGCGTCAAGTATCTCTTTTACGACCTCTACCCGCCAACGTTTTTGCAAAAACGAACTTTTATTACAAAAATTAATCTCCTTTGTGTTGTACATATAAATATGTACAATGGGTTCGTCTAATTTTGAAGGACTTACTTTTAAATTTTGGTCCCTTGTTTTGAGAATCAAGTTGACGTTTGTACAAGAAAGTTTTCTGGAATGGCTACTGAGCAGTCTAACTTCAGTAGAACCATTATCTTCGAAGTTTTACAATGGTGTGTTCTGTTGCTCGACTCGAGTAGAAAGTGTTTTTTGTTTTATCACCGAATTTTTCGAGTCAACTGTTATTCGTTTTCGGTTATCACAACACTGAAAACAATCAATGTACATACATACTTACCTAGTAGGAATAGAATTTAAACTTTTTTCATAGCAAGTTTTATAGATTTGATGGTTATGGAGTTATCTTTATGTATAAAAATCACGTGTCACGTTGCTTGTCCGCGATAAACTCCTAAACTACAGAACCGATTTTAGTAAAATTTAGCACACTGTGTCCAGTTTGAACCAACTTTGAAGATAGAATGGTAAAAAAACATTTTAAGTAAAAAATACAGTGAAAACTGTATTAAGCGGACAACTCTATTAACAGGACAGAAAGGCTGGTAACCAGACATTGAGAAAACGGCCTTGAACTCGTTATTTTTTCCAATGAAATTTATTTGCATGGAAATATTCAATATTAAATCACAAATATAATTCTTTGGATTCATATACCAACAAAAACGTTTTCACCTTTATTCGTAAATAAAACTTTCACAGTATTGATAGTTTATGATATGAATAATAGTATAAAATGTATACCACAGCAACGCGTGGCCGGATCCACTAGTATCTATATATAATATAAATGATCAGAATGACGAGAGGAGTTGAATTCCGAGTGACTGTCTGTCTGTCCGCCTATTTGTGCAAGCTGCGTCGCAATGAAACTGGTCACGAGTTCCTTGTTTAAAAAGAGAGGACGAGTTTGTAGATGGACGTAATAGGTCCACTACCACTCCTCAAAACGCCATGAAACGGAACTTTATAAATTACGATAACAAAAAATTTTCTTTCAACAGACGGCGTTACGAAGAGGATAAGCTTAAAATTACTCTAGATAGTAAAGCGGAGATATGTGATTCCACACTCGACCCATTACTAAGAGGAAGCAGTATCCAATGGTACTTTGACGGCTTCAAAACACCGGAATATCAGTTTGCAACCGTGTATACGAGATCTTGGTGCTGCGGCATAACGGGTTAGCCGACCAGAGCTATACATTGCGGTGGTATCCCATACCATAAGGGAATTGCTCCGAAGAAGGAGAGAGTGGGGAGAGATCGGCACTGACAGCAGGCAACAAGAATGCGCCAGCTGCTATTCGGAGGTTGCAGCCTAGCAAGGTTTACGGATATGATCAACCTCCGCCGAAATAAATTCCGTCTTCTTGTCGCTCTCTATAGTGGGCACTGCATGCTCAACATTCACTTGTCTAACTTGGGCATAACCTCCTGTGCTAACTGCTGGTTTTGCGACATGGAATCGGAAACTTCAGAACACATGACTTCAGTTTGCCCAGCTCTAGACATTTCGACCCATCTACGTGGACAGAGATCGAATCACCTCCATCGCGCCCAGCAAGCTCCTGGAATTGTTCAGAGTGCTGGATCTTTGTGACCATCTCTACATCTTATAAAATAAAGCCTTAAAATGTGTATGTTACCTCACAGCTCAGCTAAATCTTAACCGATTTTATTCCGGTTTTTTGCAAAACATACCTTGAGCCCTCCTCTCCAACGTAGGATACCTTAAAAAATATTTTGCCTTATAAAGGCGCGACAATAAGCAAAAAAACCTCAAAAATAGACTAATTTTAT